ATATGTATATGTATATGTATATGTATATGTATATGTATATGTATATGTATATGTATATGTATGTATGTGTATATATTATTAAACAGTTTTTTAAAAAGAATTTTTTTACAATGTCCTATACAACATTTTCACATCATTATACATCCATTGTATATGCATTTCTCCCCCCTTGTTTCAATTTCTCTTTGTCTATATATATGTTTCTAATGTTTTTTATACATACGAATATATACATTCCTTAAATTACAATCCTTCATTGTATATCATTTCCATTTATACATATTTCTTCATCTCTACATATACATGACTAATTTTTAACTCCTCTGTCTTCTTCATTTAGTCTTTCCTTAAGCTTTACACCTGTCCTCTAACCATCTGTACCACTCATTCCATACCATATAATATTCTCTTTCCTCTATATCTTTAATTTCTTTTGTGAGTCTATCCCTCTAAAAACTTTCTAAACTTCACAGTCTAAAACTTTCCTTATCACAGTCTAAAACTTTCCTTATCACATTTTCCTCTGTTGCTATATTATGGTTCTTCCAGTTTTGTGCATATATTATGCTCGCTGCCATTGTAATACGCAAAATTAAATATTGTACTTTTTAATCATATTTCCTTGTAGGTATTCGCAATAAAAAATAGCTGGCGACCTTTTTATTTACATCTTACAACTTACTGTATAACCATCCATTTAGTGACCGTTCAAAGTTACAATAGTATTGGAAAAAGGGACTTACGGCCATTTTTCACACTTACGACCGTTGTCCCATCCCCATGGCTTGGCAACTGGTTCATATTTATGAACCAGATTTGCTTAACACCTGTGTTCCTAAGTTAATAAATGCAGTGATTTATTTAGCAACTGTGGTAGGGAAAGGTCGTAAAAAGGGGGGAAACTGACAACTGTCTCACTTAGCAACCAAAAGTTTGGGCTCAGCTGTGGGTCTAAGTTGAGGACTTCCTATATTTGGTGACTCCTGATCTCATAAAATTGTCCTGCTTGGCCTGTCACCAGAGGTTGTGGGTGTTCCATCACTGGAGGTTTTTAAGAAGGGACTAGATAATCATTTATCTGAAATGGTACAGGTTCTCCTGCTTGAGCAGAGGGCTGGACTAGAAGACCTCCAATGTCCCTTCCATCTCATTCTATTCTATTTATTGTTGCTAAAAAAGATTGAATTAGCTGAATAACTGAAGCATATTTTCCCAATATACAGATCTATCTATCTACTGTATCTATCTACTCTATCTATCTATCTATCTATCTATCTATCTATCTATCTATCTATCTATCTATCTATCTATCTATCTATCTATCTATCTATAGGCTAAAATGTTTTAGGAATAGATACTGAGCTCATAAATCTTTGTCTCCCTTTTTGATGTCAGGCAAATTAATGAGGGGAAAAAAGAGCTGTGTTATGAAGACAGATCAAGTAAAATGAAAATTGTCTGAGAGTTCAGTTAAAAACGATTTTGCCATATGCCTTAACCTGTTTATAGACATCATGATGCCTGAAATTAAATTATCGCAGATTGATTCCACCTAAAACACATGGTTTGGAAAGAAATTGGGTAATTAGTAGCCATAGCAACCCAATTAAGTTCTCTTACACCCTTTATTTTAATTGCTGTATTAATTGGAGAGAGAAAAATAAATGGAATGTTCATCCTTTACATATCACGTTAAGGTTTAGTCAAAATATAAATTGCTGGGAAAATATTGCTTAAGTTAATCACTGTAAGCTGCAGATCCAGAGAGAAAAATTAATTTTGCAACAAACCGAGTTTGAGATGGATGCCACCCATTTACAGCTCTGAGATAAGAGCCTGGCATTTTGAAAATACATATTACTCAAATGCAGAAACAGATTGTGATTTTAAAGAGCAGCTTGGTCTTTTCTAAAGTTTAAAATAAAAGAGTTGTTAACAAGAGGGGGGACAGAAAAAGAAAGACCTGGCTTAGTTTTATCGGCATGTTTCTTGCAAAAGAAACAAAAAATATATATATTTCAGTGACAATGATTTTCAGTGAAATGAAGAGACGTCCGTATAATTTGTAATGTAGCATCAACTTTTAAACTAGATAAGGGTTGATAAGCTCATGAAAATGTCTGTACTTTATTTCAGCTTCCAACTAACCCAACTGTGAAGCTCTCTATCCTGTCTCACCATTTCCCCATAGTTTACATGAAACAATTAGGAGTAACATGATAGTAGTCTTTCAATATCTGAGGGATTGCCACAAAGAAGAGGGGGCCAACCTATTCTCCAAAGGACCTGAAGGCAGGACGAGAAGCCACGGATGGAAACTAATCAAGGAGAGAATCAACCTAGAACTAAGGAGAAATTTCCCTATAGAACAATTAACCAGTAGAACAACTTGCATGCAGAAGTTGTGAATCCTCCAACATTGGATGTTTTCAAGAAGAGATTGGACAATCATCTGTCTAAAGTGATATAGGATCTCCCACATGAGCAGGGGGGTGGACTAGAAGACTTCCAAGGGGGCTTCCAATTCTCTTATTCTATTATTCTGTTTTCAATGATGATATTATTGTGAAAGGAGATACATGATTACAAAGCATATGTGTGGT